ACTGCAGAGTTAATGCAGGTAAACAGGTCATGGAAAGCTGAAAGAGTAAGAAGATCACTGATGTAACAGAGGGGTAGTAATTACACAAAGCAAGTGTGAATACCATGACTAAGTGGAGCAAATCCAGGAGCTACAAAAAGGGAACTGCTGGGCTAAGATCCAGGCTGCTGAGGGCCCTGCCTGTCTGCTACTGCTTTCTCTGAGGGGTGTCATGTGGCTGGTCTGATGGGCATGAGCAAAAAAAAGCATACAAAGAGGCTAGATCTCTGGACCCGAGTTTGATCCCCAGTACATAAAAAAAAAAAAAAGAGGCTAGATCTGACTGTCAGAGCTATGTTGAAGTACAATTGCTGAGATGCAGCTGACAGGAAGAGCAGGCAAATAGGAAGAAGTGAGTCCTCTCTCCCTGGCTGTGTTCTGTTCTCCATCTGGGGCAGCAGACTTGCAGATCTCAGCAGCACTGACCAAGGAAAATCTGGTTCTAAGAGCCCCAGTGCTGGGATCACAGAGCCAGGAAAGGAGAGTGAGTTTGGAATTGAGACACTAGTTTGACAACTGGTACCTGGAACAAGAGGGCCTGGTTGTCCTCCTCTTCTTTCTACACATGATTGAGATTCAGAGCATTTAGGAGACTTGTCTAGAGCCCCACATAACCTTGGCACAATTGCTGGCAGATGTGGGTGTGCAGAAACTTAATGTTGATTAAAATGTACATCCAAAAGTCAGAAAACTGTCAACTTTAAATCTATTTCTTTGACAGAGAATTTTACAGATACAATAGGTCCTCGCCCTTCTTGTGTGTGAAGTACCTATATTCCAAGACCCAGAGTCTAAGCCTCAGAATAGTGCTGAACTCTATATATACTATCCTTTTTCCTGTACATACTGATGAAAAATTTTAATTTACAGTTTAAACACAGTAAGAGATTAACAACAATAAATAATAATTAAATAGAATAATCAACACATGGTAATAGAGTTATTTAAAGCCTATGATTATTTATTTCTGGAACTTTCCATCTAATATTTCTAGACTGCGGTTGATTTGTAGGTATGTGAAGCCATGAAAGGTGAATCTGTAGATAAGGAGGTATTATAGTAGATATATTTAGATGAGACATTTGCAAACTGTTTTGGCTCATAAAAGTCATACTAATTACAGTAATTTGTGTGACTTAATTACCAACATATAGAATTATGATTATATATGCTAATAGTAAGGGTGAGATCAACTTTGTTGTTATATTTTAATTACAACACATGGGGTACATGTGTACTGTCTTCATGGCTTGTTGTTCATTTGATGTGTCCATAGACACAAGACTCCAAGAGTATATGGAAGGAAACATTGCACATCAGTGTTCTACTGGAGGCAAGGAATGAAAACCAATGGAGCAACTATGGAAAACATCCTCAAGTGACAAGTCCAGTGATCTCAGATTGTAATCTTCATCATCAGATTTCTATTTTCCTAGACTATCAGAAATGATAGTTTTAGACATCTTAGGATCACTTCAAAATATTCACAGATGTTCTATGAGGGCAGAAAAGCACAGAGTCTGTGGAATATTGAATCTCAGTTCTGCTATTGTCAAGGTGACCTTGAGTAAATTACTGTATTGTCTTGCTCAATGGGGATGTAAATGTTCAGTTATTCATTTAACAACTGTTCATGGAGTGCCTACCATGTGCTCAGCACTGCCATAAGAATTAGGGACTAATGAATCCCTCTGTTCTTAAGGAACTGTACATTTCAGTAGAGGAAGGCAGAAAATAAACACATAAATATAGAAAATGTTAGGTGGCAATAAATAATACAGGAAAAAAGTAAAATAGAGTGAAGAATGATGTGGGGGCGGTAATTTCTATAGAATGAATAGAGACATCTTGTCTGATAATATAATATCTCAACAAATAGCTGAAGGAAGGAAGGAACATGTGAATACCTGGAGAAGCTTTAAAGCAGCAGCACATGGAAGTGCAAGGACTGTGGTGGAACATGTTTAGTGAGAACAGTGTGAGACAAGAGGGGATAAGAGCAGAGGTCAGGCAGTTGTGGGAAGGGGAGCTGGAAGTGAGACTAGGTACTGGGAATACATTACAAAGTGTAGGTCAGAGGACTGATGCAATCTGAATTATTTTTCAAGAGTCACTATTGCCGGATGAAGAATAGATAGTGGAGAATCAGTTAGGAAGATATTACTGCAATCCAGGCCAAACATAATAATGGCTTGAGAAAAGATGGTAGGGGTAGAGATGTTGAAAAGTGGAAGGGTTTAGAATAAATTTCAAAGCACAAGCCAATGAAATTGCTGATGTTCAGTGAGAGGAAAGGTACAGAGTGATCCCAGAGCTTTGGCTTGAACAGCAGGGAGAATGGCAATACTGATAAAGGACCTCCAAATGATATAGAAGAACTAATTTAACTCCCAGCCTGCTAGATGTCAGATATGCCAAATCTGTGTTCCTCAAAAGTCACAGAATGAATTCTAAGAAACAACAGAGGTTAAGAGCGGGAAATATTTATTGAGAGGGAGAGATTTTAGCCCCTGAGAGACAGGAGGGGACCCCACTTCTCAGGGGTAGTTTTATAGAGCAAAATCACAAGATGAGTACAAGGTGGGACAAAATTATGATCAACCAATAAGATTACATGTACAGGTAGAAATTCCCTATGATGAATGTTGTCATTATGTATATCTAAAATGTACCAATAAATGTTTTGCTTCACAAAATAGAATTACAAGTATAGTACAATATTACTATAGTATAGTAATATTGATCCAATGGGGAAGCAAGTCATGTAGAAAGTGTATATGGAAAGAACAAAGAACTTTTTTAGGAAAGGATGGATCCGGAGGTCTTGGTCACCCACCAAGGTGACTGATGTCTATCTAGACTTTATTGGGCCAGATGTTACCACTTATCTCATCACTTGGGGAAGTATGTAGGCCTGGTTATTTCATCTTTATCTTGAGGGCTCGCCTCCAACAGATGCGTCTCCATCCACAGTTGTAATGTGTTTTCATCTTTTGTACTGATTCTCTTGAGGGCCCAGCCCTATCTGACTGCCTATAAAATTTCTACCTAACTTAGTTGTCTATAATAATACTATACTAAGAAACCAGTGAGAAAGCTGGTTAATCATGGTAACCCTGCTATGAAATAGCAAAGCAATGCAAAAACTAAGAAGAGCAAAAGGAAACTAGCCCCGTGTTGGCCCAAGTCAGAGGCCATCCATTCTGATCCTTCCTACCCTTCATAACACTCCTTACCCTTCTTTACACTCTGAATGAGTTAATTCACCACTGCACTTACCTGCCCTCTCCCCAATCAGTATTGTCAAAACAATTCCACTACAGTGAGAGGTTCAGCCAATGCTACTCCAGAAAAACTCCCAAAAAGACTCAATAGGGCTAGATAAATCACATTTTAAAATAAAAAAGAGAAACATTTAATATTAAAACAACACACCTGCCAACCCTCCTAACACTTCAAAGTACTTAAAGTACTCCTTAAAATATTCCCTGTTTTAAGAGAAATTCTCTGATCAGTGAAATACAATATTTCATAAGAATTTTTTCTTAGAATTTATGAAGAAAAGCTAAAAAACTGCAAAGTTAAAAAAATCTCTAGAAACACTTCTTGAATATGGATCTCTTGGCAAAATTTCCTACTTGATTTTATTCTTTTGTCTAAAATTTTGAAGCATAATATTAAAAGAAAATAAGTAATGTAAATATCTAGGCACTTATGTAAATATATCTTAGCAACATTTTATCCATTACCAACCTGAAAAATAACCAACATGTTAATAGATTCATTCAGTTCAATTCTTCAAAATTCTTTATTGCAGATTCATTTTAAATGTCAATATTCAGTTCACATATCTCTATGCTCTTAAGAATCATCAGCATTTAATTTATGAGTGTTTTTAGATGGCAAGATTCTACTACTTAAAATTCAGTTCAGTCCCCTTGGTCTGAGTTGTGGAATACTTATATCTTTTTTTTTCCTAAGTTCTTCTGTATGCTTAATTTCCCATAATTAATCTAATCTTTAATCTAAAGTAGCACGCAGCTCCCACCACTTCCCCACTCCAGCCCAGGGTCAATAACATAGAGAATAACAGAGTCAAATAATACATTGTCCCACTGTTGCTATCCTCCCCACAAGCAGAATCTAATATAGTGTGACTTTAGATAGCATTCAGAGCTGAGTATATTGTCCCTTAAGAAATGAACCCTGCAGCAGCCAAGGAGCAGCTGACAGCCCATTGCTGGTAAGAAGCTCACAAGAACAGACTAATTTAACTTCAAGGAGTGTATGTGTTTGTCACATTGGGTGGGTGTGTTCATTAGATTATCCAGCTATAGAAAGACAGAGCACTCAGCTTTGCCAAAGATGCAAGGGAGCAAGAAAGGAATCCTCTCTGTAGCTTGGCAAGCAGGAGCATTGGCAGGAGCAACAAAACCCTTGTCGATGTCTTAGGTTTGTGACTCATGGACTTTAATTAGTATTAAATACTAACTTAGTATTAAATACTAAATTATTATAGTATGACAGCAACATTTTCAGGCTCCCCAAGGTACACAATGGAAAGCAAATATCTGAGCAAATATGCCAATATTTAGTATAAAATGCACCAAAGTAATGGCCACTGGCTATGAGAAGCCAGAGTTGACTATAAAGTCTTGTTCATGTCTTTCCAAGTGTAATTTTCTAACTCATGACCAGGGAATCATTTACCTCCAGGAAGAATCTACTTCTCATTTTTATTAATCAACTTTCTAGTGTTTTTCTTTATGTTTAACCCTGCAAGACCTGTATTCAGAGCAAGTAGCAATATTTACCCATGTCTCACATCATGAGATTATTAAGAGTAATTATTAAGAGTTTTAACTACTTACACTGGGTCCATTTTCCAGCTGAGATAGTGCTATCTTTTGACTTTGATGAAAAAGAAAATTGGCTCTGACCTCTCCGTTTTTCAATTTCAGGGATAGTTGCTGTTCTCTTCTGTGGAGTTACACAGGCACATTATACCTACAACAATCTTTCATCGGATTCCAAAATGAGAACTAAACAGGTAAAATAAGAAAAACTCACTACAAATTTTGTCTCTTCTTTGTTGTAATGGTTATGTAGCAATTCTGCCAGTGCACTCAGAAAGAATGTCATTAGTAAAGGAAGAAAGTAAACTTAAGGCTTCATTATATGTTGGATATTTATAGATTTTTTCCCCTCCAGGATAATCATTAACAATTCTCTTGGTAAGCAAAAATATAGTTATAATAGTCTCTTCCTCCTGAGAGATGTGGAAACAGACTGTCAGTCTCAAAGATGAAAGGCCTAGAGTCAGTAATAATTCACAGTTACTTACATATAAAAGCTTGATAAAGCATGTGAGATTGGGTAGTTATAGAGAAAGAAGGAAATGAAGAAGAATATGGAAGTGATGTTTGGTCTTTAATTGAGTGCTTTGTGCTTCCAAGCAAATTCAACTGCATGCCAGTTGTCACAGCAGCAGAATATGTCTGCCTTATTATGAAAACACATCTGTTTAGATATTTGCAAAGGAACATATGCAGACTCCTTCATAAACATTTTCTATATAGCTGCTCTGTGCCAAACACTGTGCTAGGTACTAGGAATACAAAAATTGAATGAGTTCCTCTTTAAGACATTCATTATCAAGTCAAAGATTATCAAGGACAAAGATGTGTAATGTATGGGAACCCACAGTTTGATAGTATGATAAGTATTGTGATAGAAATATCCATAAAGTGTGTCTGGGAAATAGTTAGTAGGGCATCCTCCCATGGTTACAATTAGGAAAGTAAGGAGAAAGTTTCCAGAGATGATGCCTAATCTGTAGCAAAAAAATACAAATAGAAGCAACTGTAAATAGTTCTGTGTAGCTGGGTGATTGAGGTAAGGTGGAAGAAAATGGAATGTAGCAAAGGATGAAACCACAGGTACAATCACATTTATGAAAGGACTTAGATACTTTGTGAAGAAATTTGACTTTATCCTAAAGGTAATGAGGAGTGGCTTAAATAACAGTAATTTATTGTTTCACAGTTCTGGAGTCCAGAAGACTGAAATGAAGGTGTTGTTAGGGTTAGTTTCATCTAAAATTTGTGAAGGAAAATCTGTACCTATATGTCTTTTAGATTCTGGGGGCCTTCTGGAAATCTTTTGTTCCCTGGGTTGTAGACACTATCTTAACCTTTGCATTCATGTTCACATGGCATTCCCTCTGTGTGCCTGCCTAACTCCAAATTTCCCCTTTTTAGCTGGCATGGTAATCCCAGAATTTGGGAGGCTGAGGCAGGATTATGATGAGTTTGAGACTAGCCTGGGTTACACAGTGAGTTCAAGGTCATCCTGAACAACATAGCAAGATCTTGTCTCATCCCCCATACCCCCAAAAAACTCCGCTTCTTATCAAGACAGCTGTCATATTGGGTAAGGGGCCCACTCTATTCCAACATGACTTCATCTAAACTAATTATATTTTCAATGTCCATACTTCCCAATAAAGTCACATTCTGAAACATAGAAGATTGGGTCTTCAACATATAAATTTTTGGGGAACCCAATTCATCCCCAACAGGACAATATTGAAGAGCCTTAGGCAGAATAAGTTAAGATAATTTCAGTTCCATTGTAGAAATATCACCCTGAAAAATATGAGAAACATGGATCAAAGATACTTTATCAGGTAGACTTTGCTGTATAACAGACAACCATACAACCTAGGGGCATCCAACAATAAAAATTTACTTATCTCTTATCTGCAAGATTCAGCCATTTGGAACTGGGTTGGGCCTAGTGGTTTTGCTTGCACCAGTAGAGCTTATTCAGATGCCTGTGGGTTTGTGGGGAACTCTATTCCATGGTCAACTTGAGTGGGGCATCTTGCCATTGCCATGTGCTTGTCATTCTTCTCCTGGCAGGAGAACAAGACCCAGTGTTGAAGCAAATCCATTTCAATCATTTGCCTGTATCATATCTTCTAAAATTTCTATTGGCCAAAGAAAATCATATAGGGTAGTCCAACCTCTAGAGACTAAGCAGTGGAAGAGTACTATAAAGTCATATGGCAGGGTATGTGGATATAGGGAATGACAAAGAATGGATGAAGGGTGTGATCTATCCCAAATGCAAATGAAGGCTAAGAAGCTTCTATAACAAAAACTGATGATGCTAAAGACTTCCGATGTAATACTGGGATAGTAAGAGTGGAGGAAAAAAGTGATATCCAAGAAAAACCTGTAATTTCACAGGAAATCCTCAACAGGAGTTCTTGAAGGCTTGCTGTAAAGTTCTCCCTGATGGCTTATACTTTTATCCCTCTCTCGGCTATGTTCCAAGCTCAGTTGACCCTGATTCTGCCTCCACCTGCCTAGGACTCTACAAGGCCAACTTTCCATTTTCCTTATCACTTTGAATGCTTCAGAGGAATCACAAAATACAATTACAGAAATTCTGAGTGCCCCTGAGTAAAACAATAAATAAAATTTTAATACCAATATCCAGAAATCTCTATTCCATAATCTTCCCAAGATATTTTAATTATGAAGACTACTAGCATTCTCCAGGGCTTAAAAGGAAATGTCTTGGGCTGGTTTTTCATAGTCTCTTTTGATTCTCAGAGCATTTGTATTCTTAGAAGTTGAACCCTGTTTAGGGACCTGCTCTTTTAAGTCATGTTATGTAGACTGCTCAGCAGAACTTCAAAGATATCTTGTCTCATGGTGAGACAGCAGCCCAGCACCTAGGGGAAACAGCCACAATCAGTGCCCCACAGCCTTCTGTTCTCCCTTTGAATGGTTTGACAAGTACTCCCTCATGGCCTTCCAGAATCCATTTTGCAGCTCAGTCCTTTAAGGAGGGAGAACTTTGTACGAGTTCATTCTTTAACATCCAGATAACTGCATACCCTCACTCCTGTTTCCTCCACTTCTTTTCTGGATGCCTAGATATACAGTAGGAGCTTAATAAATGACAATTCCCTTCTATTTCCTTCTCATGTATTTCCTCATTCTTTTCTTTCTCTCAGGATCATTTTCTACTTATTTTTCTCTCATAATACATGCACACATAGCATGTATGCCTATTTGTATGTACATACATATCTATGATCTACATACCCACACATAACACACACTCTCATATGTAGAATTTAAGGTCACCACTCTGAAGGAAATGAGATCAGAGGTCCTCGGCCATGTCTGTGCCAGAGCAGCAAGCAAAATTTAAACTGTGGGAAACCAATTACAAATTGTTAGAGAAATGCTGAGGCATGTATTATTAGAGGTTGCCACTGTGTCCCCTGTGAAACTGGGAAGGCTTGCAAAGTATTATGTGATATCACATGGGTACAGACACAGAATCTCTTTCTGCATCTTCCCACACTGTGTTCACACTGCCAGTGGTAGAAGAAACAGTCACATAGCCTCTTTGTCTCTCTTCCTGCAACTATTTAATGAAAGAATGGAAAGTGAAGTCTAGGGAAAATCCATGTAAATCAACTTTGTGATATAAAATCCAAAGATAATGTGATTTAAAGAGGAATTTTATTCATCAACTGTAACTATAACAGCTAATCAAGAAGCTATATCTGGATACAAAGGTTTTGGGAAGTATATATTCTTTATAGCTTCAAGAATTGGCTATATTTTTTTAAATTTCATTTTCATTTTAAATGTGTTTGTAAATGATGATTATCTTCTAAGTGTAAACTAATTTTCGCTTGAGCCTATGAGAAAACATGTACTATAACTATGCATTAAGCACAAAGCAGCATAAGAGAGAGTCACTATGAGGCTGTTACTCACCATAAGAATTTACACTTGAATGGCAAAACACTCTGTTAAAAAGTATGCACATATAGGCAGCAATCCCTTTCCCAGATTTGGAGTGGTTGTAGCTTATACTTGTACACATCCAGTCCTATAGAGGAACAGATCCTGCAAGCCCTGCCTCCTGTGCTGGAAGCTGAATGCTGCTAGGGCTACTCAGGTGGACATTGGCACCCACAGTCTGCAGCCTCCAGACTCACTCTGAGCCACCATGAAGAGTAAGTGAAGACCTCTGGGCCCACACACAGGTCCCAGCCTGCCCTGCCAGCCCTTCCTCTCTCAACCCCTCACCCCTCAGGCAGGTCTGGGAGCTGGTTATCTCTGCCAAATGCCAGGCATTTCCATCACTCTCTTTTCCTTGCCTGAGGCTCAGTTTCAAAACCAGTATTTCCATGGCATCCCTTTTAACTAGAATTCCTCCTGCCCTTCTCACAGCTATCACTTAAAATTTATTTTCAGCAGATACACATGGGTATATATGAATATTAATAACTAACATTTATTGTTCATTGACATATATGAAGTACTTATCTCATTTGCTTGCTACTTACAGTTCTTCCTAAGAGGTAGATCTTGTTGTCATTAATAACCTTCATTCACTGAACTACATTCATTCAGAGCCTTCTTTGTGCTGCCACTGTTCAAGATGCTGGAAATCCAACAAAGAACTGTAGGATATTTAGTAGAAGAGGTTTATTATAATCAAAATAAATCAGCAAAATATGTAATGCCTTTATTGTAAGTTATAAAGCCAATGCAAAAGCAGGAAATGGAGCTAGGAGTGTATGTGTGGAGAGGCAGTCTTAGAATTTTAGATAGGTTGGTCAGGAAAGGCCTCTGTATGAAGGTAGCACTTGAAGTGAAAGAAGGAGCCATATGGACATTTGGAGTAGAACTGTTCAGGAATTGGTAATAACAGACCACAAAGTTCCCAGGGACAAGAGGACCAATGTGTCTTGAACAGAGTGAACTGGAAGAGACTATCAGCAAGAATATTAAGGTAGCAACAAGGAGAAGGTCATGGAAAGCGTGAATGAAGGAGCCTAAAGAATCCTACTAAATGCGCTGAAATATCAAGAAAGATGAAGAACATGAAAGCTGTTGACATTGTAAGAACCATATTGATTTAATAGCACGATAAAAGCCTAGTTAAATGAGTTTAGGAGAGAATGGAGGGCCGGGCTCAGTGGTTTCACCGCCTGCTGTGCAAGCACAAGGA